CTCCTAGCTCACACTGAAGCAAAGAGCACAGCACGGGGCAGAGCAGCCTTCAATAGCCTGCAGCTCCGCCCCTGTCAACCACCTCCACCAAGTCTGGCCTCCTTAATGAGAGCATTCAACCCCCCCCCCCCCAAACTTGGTTGCTTCGCTACATCGGCTATTGCTGCAAGTAATGACAGTGTGAATAAATTGTCAATATTTGCTTGAGATAGTGCTTGCAGTTCTGGAGGGACTCTTAATTTTTGCATCTCAGACTTAGCATGAGGATTTGGTTAACCAGTTAAAATTCATGAGTAAACCAGTTTTTTTAACCTGAAAAATTTCTGGACGGTGGACATTCCACAGATATTTAAACCTCACTTGCCTAGTTTCCAACAGACCTCACAACTCTGAGGATGCCTGCCATAGATGTGGGCGAAACATCAGGAGAGAATGCTTCTGGAACATGGCCATACAGTCAGGAAAATTCACGGCAACCCATTTCCCCAGTCCATTTGTAGTCTGGAATCTTCCTGCCCTGCCCAGCCCAAGAAGATCCCCCAGCAAAGAATGGTTGCAGTACCGTGAAGGCTTGACCTGGCTCTCAGTGGCTTCTGGCTAGTAGGAAAAGGAGTGTACCCACCCACAGGATGCTCTGGGTCCCTCCTGGCTGGCGACCCCCCCCCCCCCCCCACACACACACACACATGAATCTGCTGCCCTGTGATAAATGTGGTGTTGAAATAAAAGAAGGACACCTCAGAAGCAGGACAAATGCCTGTTTGATGTGCTGGCATAGGCAGTTTCCTGGGGAGAGGAGGATGCCCTGCAGCATCTAGTGTTTATTCCCAGCAAAGGCCATTTTCTATCCATGACCATTGTTCCCCCATCTCTTCCTTCAGCCAAGCTCCTCTCCCTCCTGGAAGGAAGGCACCAAAATGGGAAAGCTAGGAGAAAAGGGTCTGCATGGGGATTAGCACCACTACCCTCCTGGCACAGGGAATCTTGTGCCCCTGAGATGCCCAGTGCTTTGTGGACAGAGTCCTCTGCTGCCATCTTATAGGCCGAAAATGGATGGGAAAATGCCACACTTCAAGGCTTGCCTGTTAAACACCAGGTGACCACACAACATGTGCTTCTTCCTCTCTATATGTGACATCCATCTCTTTCTCACACACAAACAAACCCATCCTGTTGCACTTTGTGTGGCTTTGGTGCCAAGTGAGCAAAACACAAAAGCAAAACTACAACTGCTTCTCATTCACCATGATTTCCTCAGCCTAAACTATCTTTCTGAAGACCTGAGGTTCTCCTCGTGTGGGTGATTCTTTAACAGATGCCATTCTCACATGAACTGGCCCCAGTCCCAAGCTACCAGTATTAAAGAAACCTCTAAAATCAGGCCAAACAAAGGTTTCCTCCAGGCAGAAACCAGCCAGGCTTTCAAACTACAAGAAAGGAGATTCCATCTGAACATGAGGAAGAACTTGCTGACTGTGAGAGCTGTTCAGCAGTGGAACTCTCTGCCCCGGAGTGTGGTGGAAGCTCCTTCTTTGGAAGCTTTTAAACAGAGGCTGGATGGCCATCTGTCAGGGGGGTGTTTTGAATGCAATATTCCTGCTTCTTGGCAGGGGGTTGGACTGGATGGCCCATGAGGTCTCTTCCAACTCTTTGATTCTATGATTCTATGAAGCTGCCAGGCCATTAAATACTAATCAAGGTGACCATTTGCAACATTCACATTATCCCCTGTGGAATAATGTCTAGGGTGGGAGAAAATGAACAAAATCTGGCTACCCGTATTTTTTAAAAAACTCTAAAACCAGGACAGTAAATAAAGAGCAAGACTCAAAAAGCAAGGGAATTCCAGGCAATCAATCAGAGACAGCTAACACCTTCAAACAAAGGATTCCCACAGGCACCAAGCAGCCAGATTTTGAAGCTGCCAGGCCATTAAATACTAATCAAGGTGACCATTTGCAACATTCACATTATCACCTGTGGAATAATGTCTAGGGTGGGAGAAAATGAAAATGAACAAAATCTGGCTACCTGTATTTTTTTTAAAAAAGCTCTAAAATCAGGACAGTAAATAAAGAGCAAGACTCAAAAAGCAAGGGAATTCCAGATAATCAATCAGAGCCAGCTAACACCTCCAAACAAAGGATTCCCACAGGCAGCAAGCAGCCAGACTTTGAAGCTGCAAGGCCATTAAATGCTAATCAAGGTGACCATTTGCAACATTCACATTACTGCCTGTGGAATAATGTCCAAGGTGGGAGAAAATGAAAATGAACAAAATCAGTATTTTTTTTTAAAAAAAACTCTAAAATCAGGACAGTAAATAAAGAGCAAGACTCAAAAAGCAAAGGAATTCCATATAATCAATCAGAGCCAGCTAACACCTCCAAACAAAGGATTCCCACAGGCAGCAAGCAGCCAGGCTTCGAAGCTGCCAGGCCATTAAATTAATCAATGTGACCATTTGCAACATTCACATTATTGCCTGTGCAATAATGTCTAAGGTTTGAGAAAATGAAAATGAACAAAATCTGTATATTTTAAAAACTCTAAAATCAGGACAGTAAATAAAGAGCAAGATTCAAAAAACACGGGAATTCCAATGGCTTCAAACTACAAGAAAGGACATTCCATCTGAACATTAGGAAGAACTTCTTGACTGTGAGAGCTGTTCAGCAGTGGAAATCTCTGCCCCGGAGTGTGGTGGGGGCTCCTTCTTTGGAGGCTTTTAAGCAGAGGCTGGATGGCCATCTGTCGGGGGTGATTTGAATGCAATATTCCTGCTTCTTGGCAGGGGGTTGGACTGGATGGCCCATGAGGTCTCTTCCAACTCTGTGATTCTATGATTCTATGATTTAAACTGCAGAATTAATGCAGTTTGACACCCCTTTAACTGCCATGGGCCAGTGCTAAAGAATCCTGGGCTGCATAGTTTGGTGATGCACCAGCCCTATTTGGCAGAGAAAGCTGAAGACCTGGCAAAAGTATAAATACCACGATTGCATCACATGGAGCCATGGCAGTAGGCTGTTAGGAATTGTTGGATGAGCTTCCACCACACTCTGCCCTGGAGTGTGGTGGAAGCTCCTTCTTTGGAAACTTTTAAACAGAGGCTGGATGACCATCTGTGAGGAGTGTTTTGAATGCAATATTCCTGCTTCTTGGCAGGGGGTTGGATTGGATGGCCCTTGAGGTCTCTTCCAACTCTATGATTCTATGATTCTATCCAGTCAATCAATCAGAGCCAGCTAACACCTCCAAACAAAGGCTTTTTCCAGGAAGCAAGCAGCCAGACTTTGAAGCTGCAAAGCCATTAAATGCTAACCAAAGTGGCCATTTGCAGCATTCAGACTTGCCTCAAGCAGACAAGAGTTCTTTCTTCCACCTTGAACATTATACCACAGGCATATAAACCCCACTTGCCTAGTTTCCAACAGACCTCACAACCTCTGAGGATGCCTGCCACAGATGTGGGCGAAGCGTCAGGAGAGAATGCTTCTGGAACATGGCCCATCTACACACAGAGGGCTTCCACCCTTTATCGCACGCACCCCTTTGTCACCCCCATTCTGTATTTCCCCCTCAAACCCTTGGAGGGCAACTATGTATCTTCCTCCCATTTCAACTCCCAAACAATAAAAACCGCTCTTCCACCAAACAGTCTATATTTAGTCTTGTAACATTATTATTCTGCAACTCTGAGTAGTCATAGTCCTCTGGGTAACAGTTCTGCCACAAACAGGCACACAGCGCAAGTGACTCAAAGCCTTGGATTTGTGAAATGGAGCTCTCTGTGCCTGGGAAAGCCCTCCCAAAATGGCCAGAGCATTGGCAAAGGTTTCCATTCTGCCACTTTCTACAAGGTTGCAAGACTCAGAAGATAGACAGAGGGAAGGGATTGCAGGAGAACCACCAAATAGGAAAGCCACAGCTGGGTCTCTGCATATGTTCTGATGTGCCATTCAGAGGTTATCACAAGTAATACATTAATTCTAAATTCTGCTAGGGATGGAGAAACAAACTTTGCATTTGGACTGGATCCGGAATGACTTTGAGAGTAGCAAGAGCCATTTAGAGCCAGGCCAAATACAATATGTCAGGCTCCCGAGAAATCATATTAAGACCAGAAAGGGAAATGAACACAACCACTTTCTGGGATACATGGCATTCAGGCTCCAAAAAGTCCGCTGTCGGTTCATGCCTCCCTTGCTACAGAGAGCCGGCTGCACTCCCAGCCTACCAGTATTGAAAAAATCTGGCTACCAGTATTTAAAAACCTCTAAAATCAGGATAGTAAATAAACAGCAAGACTCCAAAAGCAGGGGAATTCCAGACAATTAATCAGAGCCAACTAATGCCTCCACCAGCGCTGGACTCACCGCAGGCCGTAGAGGACCGTCCCATCCGGGTGCAGCCGGATCATGCGGTTCTTGACCGTCACCCCATGCAGGAAGGACTTCTTGTCATTCAGGAAGTAGGTGTCCGGGAGCCACAGCTGGTCGGCTACACGGTTGTCCAGCGTCAGGTTGAGAGGCAGGTCGCTGTAGGCCAAGCGTTTGTCTCGCCAGCTTTGCTGGAAGTACATGGTGATGGTGTAGTCCTGCCAGGCAGAAAGGGAAATTGGAGGGAATTACACAACTAAGGAGTGACCCAAGTCCAAACTGGATCTACCTATTTATTTATTTATTTCAGATATTTGTACCCCAACCTTCTCAACCCCCACCCCACCCCGGAGGGGGGGGGACTCAGGTCGGCTTCCAGCCAGCAACAATTCGATGCCTCCAATGTACACATAATAAAATCTATATACATAAAAATGTAATGTTCGTTTGTGGGATTAACACAATTCAAAAATCACTGGACGAATTGACACCAACAATGGAATTGAACCAGACTTGGCACACAGTTCTTCCATGACCAACAGAAAATACTGGAAGGATTTGGTGGCCAGTGTCCTTTGGTTTTGGAGTTGTAGTTCACCTACATCCAGAGATCACTGTGGACTCAAACAATGATGGATCTGGACCAAACTCTACACGAATACTCAATATGCCCAAATGTGAACACTGGTGGAGTTTGAGGAAAATTGGACACAGTACTCCAGGTAAATAGGTCTGACCACAGCACAATAGAGAGGCACAATGACTTCCCTCAGTCTATACACTATACCCCTTTTGATGAAGCCCAAAATCCCATTGGCTTTTTGAGCTGCTGCATCACATTATTGGCTCATGTTCAACTTGTTGTCCATGAGGACTCCAAGATCTTTTTCACATGGACTGTTGTCGAGCCAGGCATCATTTATTTATTTGCTTATTTATTTACTACATGTATACCCTGCCCTTCTCAACCCCAAAGGGGACTCAGAGCAGCCTTACAATAGGCATCAATTTGATGCTGTCAGTAGAAAATAGACATGTACATTAAAACAAATTAAAAACAATAAAACATTTTAAAAAAACAATTTTAAATTCACATAATCCGAGGACATAGTCAAAAGCCATTCTGGTCATTAATTGCATAAAAGTCTACTTTACTTATTGCATAACACTATTGGCCAGAGCCCCCAGTGGCGCAGTGGGTTAAACCCCTGTGCCGGCAGGACTGAAGACCGACAGGTCGCAGGTTCGAATCCGGGGAGAGGCGGATGAGCTCCCTCTATCAGCTCCAGCTCCTCATGCAGGGACATGAGAGAGGCCTTCCACAAGGATGATAAAAACATCAAATCATCCAGGCGTCCCCTGGGCAACGTCCTTGCAGACAGCCAATTCTCTCACACCAGGAGTCACTCCTGACACGACAAAAAAAAAACTATTGGCCAAAGGTTGGTCCCAGAACCATGTTTTTACTTGGTCAGGAGGGAGGGGGCTGACCCGATTTCGCTGGGGAGAGAGTTCCACAGTTGAGGGGCCACCACTGAGAAGGCCCTGTCCCTCATCCCCACAAACCACGCCTGTGAAGGAGGTGGGATTGAGAGCAGGGCCTCCCCAGACAATCTTAATCTTTGAGATGGTTCATAGAGGGAGATGCGTTCTGCCGGAACCATTTAGGGCTTTATAGGCTAAAGTCAGCACTTTGAATTGTGCTCAGTAGCAGATGGGCAGCCAATGGAGCTGGCGTAATAGAAGGGATGCCCTCTCTCTGTATGCTGCTCCAGTGAGCAGTCTGGCTGCCACCCATTGGACCACTTGAAGTTTCCAAACAGTCTTCAATGGCAACCCATCCTGTACCCATTCTGAGAGACCCAAAATACTCAGCACGTCCAGTTACAAACTCTGCTGCAGGGGGAATTTTAATTGAACTAGTCTCCCTATTTCCCAGAAAGAGGAGCAATCACCAGGGATTCTATCTATTACCCACCACATTTGGGTTTTGGGCTCCAGTCTGAATCTTCTCATGTTTTCTATGAGACAGAGTGCAAAGAGTTCCTAGAGCCTACCTGATGAAGCCACAATGGCACTGCTGATCCCACCCTCGTTCTCAATCAGGAGAAGCTGAAAGGCAGCAATTATAAAACTTGGGCTTCGAATATTGAAATGTACTTAACTACAACGGAGCCCCCGGTGGCATAGAGGGTTAAACCACGGAGCTGCTGAACTTGCTGACCAAAAGATCAGTGGTTCAAATCCAGGCAGTGGGGTGAGCTCCCGCTGTTAGCCCCAGCTTCTGCCAACCTAGGTCAAGGTAAAGGTTTTCCCCTGATGTTATCAAGTCATGTCTGACTCTGGCGGGTGGTGCACATCTCCATTTCTAAGCCGAAGAGCCGACATTGTCCATAGACACCTCCAAGGTCATGTAGCTGGCATAACTGCATGGAGCACCATTACCTTCCTGCTGGAGCGGTACCTGTTGATCTACTCACATTTGCATGTTTTCAAATGGCTAGGTTGGCAGAAGCTGGGGCTGACAGCAGAAGCACACGCCGCTCCCCGGATTTGAACCTGTGACCCTTCGGTTTAACAGTTGAGCAGCTCAGGGGTTTAACCCACTGAGCCACCGGGGGCTCCTGTCAATCTAGCAGTTTGAAAACATGCGAATGTAAGTAGATCACATTGAGTCACCGAAAGGCTGAGAAAGGCAGTATACAAATACAGTAAATAAATAAATAATAGATCAATAGGTACTGCTTTGGCGGGAAGGTAATGGTGCTCCATGCAGTCATGCTGGCCACATGACCTAGGAGGTGTCTATGGACAACTCCGGCTCTTTGGCTTAGAAATGGAGATGAGCTCCACCCCCAGAGTCGGACACAACTAGACTAATGTCAATGGGAAACCTTTACTCTACTCTAACTTCAATGGGCCACTTCAACACTGTGAAAAAGCAGGGATCTACAGAGATAGGAGGATCCTAGAAATGGTTGGATACAAATGATGAAAATGCCAAAGCTTACCTTTGCCTGGCAGTAGACACCACCTTAATTTATCACATTTGGGATTTAAGCAATGCTTGTTTGCACTATGGGACAAGTTAATTATTGTTATTGTTATTGTTATTAATAAACTTTAGTTATAGCCCGCCTCCAGGCTTGTAGCCAGGATTTTGATTCGGTGGGGGCTGAGTTTGATTGGGGGGGTGAGTTGGATTCGGGGGGGGGGGCTGAGGATCTACCCTAGCAAACCTTTTGTATTGTTATCTCAATACCTCCATGCATATGGGATATATTGAGTATGGTGATCAGACCATGATATAAATAAACATAGCAGTTTAAATAATGTGCCCGTAAGGCCTTCTTGTGGACCACCCTGAGAATTTCATGGGGGGGGCTGAAGCCCCTCAAGCCCCCCCCCCCTTCCCACCGGCTACATGCCTGCCCACCACCATCTCCCCTCAGGGATTCAGGGCGGCTAACATGAGACCAAGCCCAACAAATACAGTAAACAAATGAAATACATACAGCAAAATAATAATTCAAATTAAAATAAAATTAAAATAATATACCACAATAAAAAAACGATAACATAAAAGCAATAAAGGAAAGATCAACACAGTGGGATATAACATCAGGTATGAAATGGAATAATTGTTACGGACAAGCAGAAGCACCCAAATATTGTGCAGATTATGAATGCAAAATTAAAGAGCTCTCAGTCTTTGAATGAACATTAACACGTTTATGCCTACAGCACTATTCTTCAACCTCTTGGACAATCTGTCCCAGAACCCTGGAAACTTGGACTGTTTATGGCCAATCTTCCAAAATATTCCTCTTCAAATATGGATGCTCCAAGAGGAAAAGGAGCTATAACTCTTGAAACACCAATGGCTAAACTATTGGGCAATTAGCAGAGGCTGACATCATGGAGACTGCCTATGAACGATTGAAGGCCTCAAAGCACAGAAGAATTTGATTGCCCAGATGAAAGGAATCTGCATCCAATGATTCCTTGCTCTCCAAGATCATTCAGCCATCACCATAAAGGCATTTTTTCATGTTAAGAGTGATTTGAGAAACTGCGAGTCGCTTCAGGTGTGAGAGAATTGCCCGTCTGCAAGGACGTTGGATGCCTGGAAGTTTTATCATCCTGTGGGAGGTTTCTCTCATGTCCCTATATGAGAAGCTGGAGCTGACAGGCAGGAGATCACCCCACTCCTTGGATTCAAACCACTGACCTTTCAGTCAGCAGTCCTGCTGGCACAAGGGTTGAACAAGGGTGTCTCCACCACAAAAGGCTAAGAATCATAGAATCATAGAATCAAAGAGTTGGAAGAGACCTCATGGGCCATCCAGTCCAACCCCATTCTGCCAAGAAGCAGGAATATTGCATTCAAATCACCCCTGACAGATGGCCATCCAGCCTCTGTTTAAAAGCTTCCAAAGAAGGAGCCTCCACCACACTCCGGGGCAAAGAGTTCCACTGCTGAACGGCTCTCACAGTCAGGAAGTTCTTTCTCATGTTCAGATGGAATCTCCTTTCTTGTAGTTTGAAGCCATTGTTCCGCGGCCTAGTCTCCAAGGAAGCAGAAAACAAGCTTGCTCCCTCCTCCCTGTGGCTTCCTCTCACATATTTATACATGGCTATCATATCTCCTCTCAGCCTTCTCTTCTTCAGGCTAAACATGCCCAGCTCCTTAAGCCGCTCCTCATAGGGCTTGTTCTCCAGACCCTTGATCATTTTAGCAACAGAGGCCAGCAAACAACTAACCCTGGCCATCTAAGATTTTAGCTCCGAAGGCAGTGAAAAGAGCAGCCAGGTATTGAAAAGCAGTTGCCGATCACAAATCAAGGCTGTCAGACAATGACCAATCGCAGCGAATAGACCAGGCCAGAAGCTTGGAGGCAAAAATTCAACCAGCAGGAACTCGATCCCATTTGATGGAGGAGCCATGGTTTGATCAAGTAAAGAACAGCCTGCCGATTCTTCCACAGATCGGACAGAAAGCATGTCTGCAAAAGCCACTTGTGTTTACAAAAGGAGGGATCGGGGGGGGGGGGGTTGTCTTTGCTCCTGGGGCCAAAGGACTAGAAAGGGTGGTCCCAGGCATATCAGCTCTGGTTTGAGGGGCACACATTGGCACAGGAGCCAGGTACCTTTCCCAGTGGTGTCTCCATCCACTGACGCACTGTCGGGCCGGGTTTGCTTTCGTTTGCAGGTTTTA